GAGGCCAATGGGGCTGAGGCAGCTGCTGACGCCACTGCCGACGCTAGGAGGCCCCTCCACACCCATCCTTGCCTCCCTCCTCCTCCTCGCGCCAGCGCCAGCCGAGAAAGCCGGTGGGGGCTGAGAGCAGCCGCAGGGAGGGCAGACTGGGGGTGTGGGGAGTTGGCGGAGGCCAGGACCAGCGCGGTGGTCAGCGGGGCTTAGCGGGGAGCGGGGGGAGGGCGGGGGCCGGCGTGATGCTGCCGCCACCGCGTTGATGCGGGGAGCCCTCGGATCCGGCAGGATGACAGGAAGGAGAGGTATGTGAGTGTCCCTGGCCTGAGTGTGTTATTCGGAAGGGGGCTGAGTGTGCAGGGGTGTGGTTTAGCTCATCCTTGTCACAGGATGCGTGTGCCCTGGACTGAAGATGTAGTTATTTGTGTGTGTGTTTCATTGTGTTTCACTATGCATGTGTAAGTGTGTCTCTGGGTGGGTATTTTCCTGTGTCTCCTGTGGTGTAGTGTGGTGTGTGTGTTTGTGTGTGTGTGTGCGTGTTTGGTTTCACCCTCCCACCCTTTGATACTTCTCCTGAGATAGGCCCCCTGGGCAGCCCATCAAGGGTCAGACTAGGTCAGGGCCATGGGCCTCTGGCGGGGGAGGGGGGGCTGCCTCCTTTTTTGGCCGGCCTAGGCGCTGGCCCTGTCACTCCTCAGCAATGCAGCGTCAGCCTCAGCTCTCAGCACCAAATTCCAGGCCTTGGGTGGTGGGAGGTGGCCCGAGGCCCCTCAGCCATTCTGGCCCCTCCCCGAAGCCTGGTCCAGGGGGAGATGGATGTGGGCTAGTGCCTCTTTACCCTGGTGGCCCAGGAAGCAGGCCCCTGGCTCCCCATCCAGGGGTGATGGGACAGCTGGGCTCTCCCAGCTCGGCCTGCCCCCCAGCCCCCCCACTCCACCCTGGACACACCCCTTAGCTGACTTCCTTCTCTGTCATCTGCCACCTTGACTGGTCTCTGATGGGGTTTCCCAACTCTGCCCGAAGGGCTGTGGGCACCGTTGGACATAAGGAAGCAGGGAGGAGGCTGAGGCCAGCATGGGGGAGGACCCCAGAAAACAGATGTTGGAATGTTTGTGGCTAGAGACAGTCCTTGTCATAAGTCTTAGAGAAATCCTGGCTCTTTCTCTAGTGAGTGAGAGTGTGTGTGTGTGTGAGAGAGAGAGAGAGTATGTGTTTGTGTGTGACTCTCAAAGACCTCTTATTTCTTCATCCCCCCTACTCTCTGGAGCATACTGTCCTACCCCCATCCATTCAGGACTCCCCTTGTTTGGTCCTCTCCCTTCAGTCCCCTTCACTGGTGTCCTGACTTCCCAGGGCTGCTGTAGCCCTGCCCTGTGGAACCTGTCCAGCTCTGCTTACCTGCCTCTGTCCCTGGCCAGGCCTACTCCCAGGATGCCTACCTGAAGGGGAACGAGCCGTATTCTGGAGAGGCCCGAAGCATCCCAGAGCCGCCCCCAATCTGCTACCCTCGCAAGACCTACGCCCCACCAGCCCGGGTTTCCACCTGGGCCACTATGGTGCCTGAGCCCCTCTCAGCACTTCCTAGTAACCCCCGGAGTCCTGCTGCCTGGAGTGACCCGGGACCCCGAGTCCCATCTGCTGCCCGCGCCCATCTGGACAACCCTTCCTTGGGGATGAGCCAGCCCCGCCCCAGCCCTGGTGCCTTCCCCCACCTCCCCTCGGAGCCCCGGACACCTCGTGCCTTCCCGGAGCCTGGCAGCCGAGTGCTCCCCAGCAGACAGGAGTGCCAGCAGGCCTTGTCACACTGGCTGTCGAACCAGGTACCCCGCAGGGCGGGGGAGAGACGGTGCCCCGCCATGCCCTCTCGGGCCCGCAGTGCCTCCCAGGACCGGTTGGAGGATGTGACTGCCCACCGCCAGTGGCCCTGCTCCACCTCCCAGGGTGCCTTGAGCCAGTTGGGCCAGGAGGGCTGGCACCGAGCTCGCTCAGATGACTACTTGAGCCGGGCCTCCCACTCAGCTGAGGCACTGGGGCCAGGGGCACTGGTGTCACCCCGCTTTGAGCGCTGTGGCTGGTCTTCCCAGCGTCCATCTGCCCGGACCCCTGCCTGCCAACCCAGGGACCTGCCCGGGCCCCAGGCCCTGCCCCCACCTGGTCTGCAGGGCCTGGATGATGTTGGATACATTGGGTACCGGAGCTACAGCCCATCATTCCAGCGCCGGACTGGCCTCCTGCACGCACTCTCCTTCCGGGACTCACCCTTTGGGGGGCTGCCCACCTTCAACTTGGCCCAATCCGCTGCACCATTCCTACCGGAGGCCTCTGAACCATCCAGGGTTATCCGGCCAGAACCCAGTGCCCGGGGCCTGGAGCCTCCCGCCGAGGATCATCGAGAGGAGGTGGTCTTGAGGCAGAAGCCTCCAACGGGCCGCAAGATCCAGCTGCCCCCTGCAAGGCAGATGAACCTGGGGTTTAGTGACGAGTCCCCAGAGCCAGAGACTAGTGGGCGAGGGGAACGTCTGGGCAGGAAGGTGGCCCCTTTGGCCACTACTGAAGACTCTCTGGCTTCCATCCCCTTCATTGGTGAGTGGTGGTGCAGGGGGCTGTCTTGGGAGACTTGGTTGTCTGTGCCCTGTCGTACCGCACCCACCTTTCACCACTGGTAAACTCTGGTTTGGATGCTGATGGGATCAGCCTATTTCTCTGTTCATCCATTCGTCCATCCATGCGTCCATTCTTCTTGTCCCCTCTTGCATTCTTCTGTCATCTTTCCATTCATTTACCCTTCGAACCATCTTTCCTCCTCCCTCCCTCCTTCTCTTCCTTTCCTCCCTCCCTCTTTCCTTCCATCTATCTGTTTTTTCTTCTTTTTTTCCCTCGTTTCCTCCCTCCTTCTTTTCTTCCATTGATTCATCCATCCATCCACTTTTCCTTTCTCCCTTCCCTCCTCCCTTTTTCCTTTGCTCATTCATTCATTTAGTCCGTCCTCCTGTTCATTCTCCTATCAGTCTTTTCTTTCACCCTTCTTTCCATCCACCCTCCATCCTTCCATCCATCCATCAAGTATTTGTGTCAGGCACTGTGCTAGGCTCCATGCTCTCCTGGAGTGTATGGTCCAACAGAGCGACAAATGATTAGATAAGAACAATCCAGTGGGATGGGTGTGTGATGGGAGTACAGGGAGCTCTAGGAGTGGAGAAGGGCCATATAGCCTAGACTGGGGCATGGTGGCCAAGGAGAGAATCCCAGAGAAAGGAGATTTTGGCTAAGCCTTGAAGAACGAGGAGTTAGCTAGGGGAAGAATGTCTGGGGAGAGAGACTAGAATAGACTCTAAAGTGATAGCGGTAAGATGCCCTTCTGGGTCATCAGAATGGGTCCAGAGGAGCCTTGTCAGATTCTGGGGAGTTCAGACTTTATCCTGAGGGCAGAGGAAATACTGAAGGCTTGCTGCTTCTAGAATGGAGGTTTGATAAGGGAGAGGCAAGAGAGTGGAGAGGCGGGTGATTTTCAGGTTTTTGGCCCAGCTGGAGGGTGGCGCCTCACTTCCATTTGGGAATGAGAGGGAGTGGGACAGGAAAAGGTTTAGGGTTTGCTGAATATGAGGCACCTGTGAGGGAGCAGGATGGGCTGGGGGCTTGCGATAAAGATCAGAGGTCAGATCATGGGACCGGGAGCCAGAAGAGATAGTATTTGGAGCTGTGAGTGGTGAGCTGACTGTCGGGTAGCTAATGGGAGTGAGGGAGAGGAGACCCAGCCTTGGCCTCCCTGATCCAGCTTTCAGTCTGAATGAGCAGATGCAGCCTTAGTAGCTCCCAGTCTGAGGGGGATGTGAAGTCTTTACTTCAAAGTACTCCCAGTCTGAGAGGGATACATAGCTTCTGCCCTCAAGGAACCCCCAACTGATGTTGGAGATGGTCTTTATCCTCAAGAAGCTCCCAGGCTGGTGGGGGAGACACAGTCCCTGCCCTCAGGAGCCTGGTCTAAGGAAGATGGCCCAGCTCCACGCCAGGTGCCCTCAATGTGATGCGGGAGGCACGGGCTGAGCCTTTGTGACCACTGTCTGGTTGGTGGGGCACCTTTAGCTGTGGGCATTTCTCAGCAGGGCCCTGGAGGACTTGAGGGGCCTTAGGGATGCAGTCTGGGCCTGGAGGCAAGGCTGGGGGTGGGGGGCCAGCAGGTTCAGCTTTCTGCCACCTTCACCCACCATTCCCTCCACTCGAGCAGATGAGCCTACCAGCCCCAGCATTGACCTGCAAGCCAAGCACGTCCCTGCCTCCGCTGTTGTCTCCAGCGCCATGAACTCGGCCCCCATCCTGGGCACCAGCCCATCCTCCCCAACCTTCACCTTTGCCCTGGGCCGCCATTACTCCCAAGACTGCAGTAAGTGCTCCTCACATCCTCGGCTGCACCTTCTCTTTTGCTGCCTGGTCCCCATTGTGTCTGTTGGGCCTGCTACCTGATGTCTTGCCTCTTCCGACTGGTTTCGGCTCCTCCTGGGACTCCAAGGGGAGAGTCACCTCCTGGCCCTGCCCAGATGGGGAAGCCCCAAACCTGTGGCCCTGCTAACCCTGTGGCTCAATGTGGGTGGTTTTGCAGGCAGCATCAAGGCCGGCCGTCGCTCCTCCTACCTGCTGGCCATCACCACAGAACGCTCCAAGTCCTGCGATGATGGGCTCAACACCTTCCGGGACGAGGGCAGGGCTCTGCGGTGAGGACAGGGGTGGGGTCATCACAGCCACCTTGACGGGACCGTGGCGGGCCTCCCAGTCCTGGGGTCCTTTAAACACCAGGGCAGTTAAGCTCCCTCCCTGGAAGGCCTCTGAGCCTTGGGGCTTGGCAGGCGTGTCCTGTTTCCCACATCCCTCACACTCGGTCCTCGCTTCCCAGGCGCCTGCCAAACCGAGTACCCAGCTTGAGGATGCTTCGAAGCTTCTTCACTGATGGGGTGAGTAGCATGCGTCTGTGGGCAAGGGTGTCGTAGTGCTGGGGTGGACCCTTGGCGTAGGGTCCAGGCCTAGAGCCTCTGTGATCTAAAATGGGCTCCTCTGTTTCCTGTCCTTTCCTTTCTCCCGGTACCCATTCGCCTTCACGTCAGCCACATGACCTGCCCTCTTTTGTGGGCTCCGTCATCACTTAAACACACTACGCACCCTCCCAGCCGAGGCCTTTGCGTTTGTCCTTCCTCCATCTAGAATGCCCTTTCCACGCCCCCTCTAGCCACATGACTGACTTTGTTACTTTCTTCATGTTTTGTTTTGTTTTTTTGGCCTTCTCTGAAATTTCAGCCCCTACCCCTGACATTTCATGCCTCCCTTCACTACCTTATGTTTTTCCCTCAGCACTTCTTAGGTTCTGTGATTGATACATCCATCTCCTTTCTTGCCTGTCTCCCAGCTAGAAATTAAGCTCCACCAGGGCAGGGAATTCATTTGGTTTGTTCACTGCTTGATCTCCATGACTACCTAAAACAGTGCCTGCACCAGGGAGGGACTTGGTCAGTATTTGCATGGTGTCTTCAGGGCACTGGGACTGTGGAGAGGAGGGAGACACAGAGTTGAGAGTGATGGAGAAGCTAGAGTTTCCAGCCACAGAAACTGGGGAGACGTAGTTCTGAAATGGCCTTAATTCTTTGATTACGGATGGACTGGAAAAGCCATCTTGATTGCAAACTCTCGATATCTTTGGTTTGCCTGACACCTTGATGATATCGTCACCTGGCTTATTCCTTATAACTTCCTCTGCTTACTTAACTCTCCCTTGACATGTCGCCTCTGTGGCTGGAGTCCTGTTGACACTATCACTTCCTCTGTTTAACTCTTTGTGGACATAACTACCTGCCACACTAACTAAATCTTTGTTGATGTTCCCACTTCCTCTGTTTATTTAACTCTATGTTGACACAATCACTTCCTCTGTTTCCTTAATTCCTTCAAGTCTATAAAATTAAAGGAGTCTCCAAATTGGCTATTTTGGTGTGGCGAGGCATGTGGTCTGCAGGTCAAAGCCTTCTTTCTGGCTTCCCCAGCACGTACGTCTCATGACCTCAACATAAATGATTCAGAGAGGGCAAGCAAGGCCTATGAGGCCACACAGCACAGCAGAGCCTAGCACAGGCACGCACCAGGCCTGTATGGCTGTAAGTGGTCCATGGGGTTCCTGAGATGCTGGCACTGCGGGAATCACCTTAAGTTGCCCTCTCTTGTCTTGCTGCAGTCCTTGGATAGCTGGGGCACTTCTGAAGATGCCGATGCCCCTTCTAAGCGACACTCAACTTCTGATCTCTCGGACGTGACCTTCAGCGATATCAGGAGAGAAGGGTGGTTGTATTATAAGCAGGTCCTCACCAAGAAGGGGAAGGTAAGATGGATGGAGGAATGAGATGAAGGTGGATGGAAGCTGAATCCAGCAGAACTCTTCAGCTTCTCACCCCACAGCCTCCGGAGCCAAAGAGAACCAGAACTGGCTGAGGCTGTAGCATGAGGGGTAGAGGTTAGATGCTAGGAAGAACTTCCTGGGGGACCTAAGGAACCCATGGAAAAGAGGTGAGCCAGAGAGGTGGTCAGTGCTGTGGGATGGATCTGATCAAGTTGTGCTTGAAATTCTGACAAAACCATCCCACAGTGGTCCTTCTTTGGAAGATCCCCCCAAAATGGCCACTGGGGCTCATGGAAAACAAAGGAGCAAAGCCAGGGCAGTTCTCTTAGGGGAGCTTAGGCCCCAAAAGAAAGCAGAAGTCAGCCCTTTTAAGGCCAGCAAAGGTTTAAGTCTTCATCCTAAGGGCAACTTTCATGTGGCTTCTGGGGAGTGAATTAGAGAGGGCCCAAGTGGGGGCAAGAAGACTGCCCCAGAGATCCAGGTGAGAGATGAAGGGGGCTTGGGCCTGGGGGTGGGGAGAGATAATCAGGGTCCAAATGGAAGAAGGTGGGGCCCTTGGTCCATGGATTATGAATCTCCAAATTCCAGGCCACTATCATGTCTGAGGCGGAGAGAGGAGAGGCAGCCCCGTCACTGTCCCTCCAAGCAGCCCAGGCAAAGCTGAGTAGAGCAGTTAGCATAACCCGGGCTTGTCTTTTGACTGTACCACGAATTGCTGGGGAAGCTTCGGTGACTCCCTTGCCTATGACTCAGTTTCCTCATCTGTAAATGGAGCTAATAATAATCCCTAGCTCATATGCCTATTGCTGAGGATTGCATGAGATAATCTAAGCAAAAGTGTTTACTCAGTGCCTGGCATGGGGGAGTTGCTGTTCTGCTTATTGCTGTCATTTAAATGTTCTACCCTGCCTTCTCGGGGTCTTGTACCTGGGAAGAACATAAGTTTTGAAGTCAGATAAACTTGGAATTCCTGCCTAGCCACTTATCAAGCATAAGGCTTTGGGCAACTCCCTTAAGTTCTGGCCCCACTTTTCTGATCTATAAGATGGGACAATGTTATTCTACTCCCAGGGCTGAGAGTCAAGTGAGACGTGTCATCCAGGCAGGGCTGGCACTCATCCATGCCCCTATCCAGTCTGTGGATAATGACTAAGGGCCTGGCCTGCCCTGATTCTCAGTTGAGGTTCTGGGGATCTCGTGGTGAGGGAGCCAGGCCAGTCCTGCCCTGTCGGGGTTCATGATGAGTAGAAATAGCTCAGGTTGCATAACAGATACCAGTGCCTGACTACTATGATAGGGGTGTCCAGAGCAATAATATACAGTAGGTGCCTCAGGCCTCGGCGGGGTGGGTGAGACCCGAATGGTGTATGAGAATCTACAAAGCTGGGATGGAGGGGGAGAGGTCTGACAGGGGAGCTGTGCTCCTGGATGGTCTGGAAGAAAGGTGGGAGGAGGTGCTGGGTGGCTGGGATCCAGGGCAGGAGGTAGAAGCCAAGTTGGGGAATTGGCTGCCTGCTCAAGGGCCTCATCACTCAGGGCAAGTCTTGGCAGGGATTTAAATGGGGGCAGGGGGTAGAAAGTATATGATCCCAGAAGGCAAGTGTTGCGTCTGTGACAGGAAGAGACAATGCCACCACCGCTGTTGTCCAGGTGAGCAAGGGTGGGGCCCTGACCAAGACTGTGGCATGGGGCCGAGGAGAGGGGACGATTTAGAGAGATCCAAGGGGAAGGAAGGTTTGGGCTTGCCGATGGCTGGGAGGTGAGAGAGGATGAGGGAGGTGATACTGGTTCCTGGGGTGCTCGCTTGGGCTGTGGGTGGTGGTTGATGGGATCCTCTCCTGAGCCACAGGCACTGGAAGAGAAGCCAAGAGGTTCCTTTGGGGCCTTGTAGAGTCTGAGAGTGGAGGTGTTCTGGGGACAGAGGCTCTGATGGTGTGGCACTCAGGAGGGAGGCCCACCTGGGGAAGGCATGTGTCCATCAGGGTGTACACGAGCACCTGCAGCCAGGGTTGAGAACACAAAGGAGAGGGCAAGTTATAGGCTGTGCCTTGAGAGGAAGCAGGGGATGGTGGCCAAGGAGGAGAGCCAGAAAGATGGAGTAGACCTGGAGGGGTGACCTAGGAGGGGCAGCCAGAGCCAGCTATTTGCCTGAGGAAGGGGAGCCAGGTGTGGTCAAACCCTACAGCCAAACATGTTAGCCCCTCAGAAGGCCTGTGAGAACTGCTACTCCTGCCGGCCAGGTAGTCTGTCCCCCAGCTCTAGGTGGGTCCTGGCAGCCCAGACACAGTGTCCTGGGCAGGGAGAAGAGCTGGCCCCTTCATGCTCACTGACTAGTTCTGGATGACAAGGGCTTCCACTCCCATCCTGGCCAGAACCTGATTTTACTCATCACTTTAGCCCTGTGGCCTGCGAGTTGGGAGAGGGATCCTCAAGTCAGCTTCAGGCCCTTGGTCTGTCTAGGGTCCTGACTGCCAGCCAGATGTTGTCTGCTCCTACAAGTCCAGCCTTTTCTGGGTGTCTTCCCCATCCCTCAGTCTCTTTCAGAGACATTTACTGTCAGATGGTGGGGTGCGTGTGTGTGAGACATGCTCCTGCAGCCACAGACCCAGCATATGAGCTGGATGCAACCGTAGAGACCAGCTAGTTCACCTCTTATTTTACCAACAGGGAACACTGATGCCAGGGGAGGGATCTTGACTTGTCCAAGGTCACCTCCTGGTTCAGTCCCAAGGGACCACCCTTGTCACTACCTCACGGGAGCGTTCCACCAACCACCACCCACAGCCCACATTAAAATTCTCCTAGAGGGCCCTGCTGTCTCCTGCTCTGGATGATGCTGCTTAGGTCCCCAGGTCTGTGGTGGGCAGGGCTCACGGCCAGCTGTGGCTGTGTTCACCTGGCAGCCACACAGTTTTTTCACCGGGTGTGCTCTGAGGGCAAAGGATCATGCTTAGTGTGGAGTAGCAGGTGGGCTACCTGCCAGAGGAAGGAGCCCTCAGTCTGAGATGGAGCCCCTGCCCTCAGGCTGCTGTGAGGATGATCATTCCATCTTTTCAGTAAATATTGATGAGAACTCACCTGTCCCTCTCGAGGCTCTAGGCTCTGGGCTGTGAGTGCGAGAGGACAGATAAGCTTTCTGCCCTCAGGATCTTACCATATATTGGAGAATTTCACAACCAGCTTCACCCGAGATTGCAGTAAGCACTCAGGGAAAACGAACAGAGTGACGTGACTGCCTTTAAGTTGTGAGGATGGGGCAGCAGGGGGTGAGGGGGAGGCCCGCCCATAGGAAGAAAATGGTCACAGAAGGCCTCGATGATGAGGTGATGTTGATGATATTTGAGCTCAGACCTGAAGGGCAAAAAGGGGGCAGCCACGTGAAGAAGTGAGGGAAGGAGCTCCAGGCCGAAGAAACGGCAAGTGCAAAGGCCCTAGGAAAGGACGGGCTTGGCTTGGTCACTGGAGACGCCCCATGGCTTGCATAGTGAGAAAGAGGGAGGGAGAGAAGGTGGGTTTGGAGAGGGAGAGACCAGATCACGAAACCCTTAGATTTGATTCCCTGGGCAGTGGGAACCCATGAGAGGATTTTAAGCAAGAGAGAGACGTGACCTCGTTTACAGTTTGAAAGGGTGGCTACAGCTGCCGGACGGAGAATGGATTGCAGGAGGCAAGAGTGGAGACTGGGCAGGTTTGTGCAGTTGTTCGGGCAAGAGATGTTGATGGCATGGACAAGGTAGTAGCAGGGGAAATGAAGATATTTTTGACATTTGGGAAGCAGAAGTAGCGACTTCCTGATGGGTTGGATGTCAAGGGTAAGGAAAAGGGAGGAGTCAAGGGCAACTTTCAGGTTTCTGGGCAACTGGGTGGATTTGCTGAGCTGGAAAAGATGGGGGTGGGGCAGTAGAGAACAGGTTTGATCATGAAAATCAAGTGCCCCATAGTGAGCAGTGCCTGTCGGCCATGCAAGGAGAGACTCTGTGCAGGGAGCAGGAGGTACAGGACCAGGACAGCGGGGGGCAGAGGGGGGCGCCTCAAGGAGATGCTAGGGCAGGGATGCACTGGAACTTAGCATCAGCAGCTAGGTGACGTCATAGGGGGAGAGGAGTCCAGGACGAAGTTCTAGAGTTCGCCATCCTTTAGGGCAGGGTTCCAACCTCAGCTCTGTTGACACTTGGGGCTGGATGATCTGTGTCGTGGGGGCTGTCCTGTGCATCGGAGGCTGTTCAGCAGTAGACTTGGCCTCCACCTACTAGATGCTATAGCACTTTCCCGGGTGTGATGACTGAAAATGTCTCCAGACAAAAGTCCCCTGGGGGTGATTCACCAGGGTTGAAAACCACCCTGGCATAGGAAATGATGGAAGGAAGGGAGGGAGAAGAGTGAGAAGAATGGAGTTAGGAGGAAAGCCACGGACCAGGGGTCCCGGATGCCAAGAAAGGGTTTGACGAGGGAAGGCATGGCCAGATGCTGCAGAGAGGTTAAGGAAAGGGCCGAGCAGGGCCAGGAAGCAGCCACAGGCTTTGGCAACATGGTGTGCCTGGGGGACCTCGTGAGTGACTTCCTGGGAAGGGGTGCTATGTGGAGTTTTGAGCGAGAGGCAAAAAAGCAGGGAGAGCAAGTGTGGTTGACACTCCTGACCAGTTTTGCTATGAGGGAGAGCACATGTGGACTGGGAATGACTTTACAAGGACTTTTTTGTAAGGTGGCTCGTGCTGGGTGGGGCCTGGCTGCCCTCCCAAGGTCCCTGCTGGTTCTCTGGGGCATTGCCAACACCCGGTTAGTGCTGATGCTAGTATTTAAAGATGCTAGTACCCCCTGGGGGGTACTGAGAACGATGGGTACAGGTGTCCTGGCAAGTGAGGGGCTGAGAGAGCTGGGAGACTGTGAGCAGGAGGCTGCCCCAGGTTCCAGAGGCAGTGGAGCAGGGGGTCTCCTGGTGGCCAGTGGGGTGGGGGTTCCCACTACTGTCCACTGTCTGCAGCTCCTAGGGCCCTCTGGGCTCTGGGGGCAGGGAGGGCAGGCTTAGCCTCTCATACCCTCCCCCTCCAATCTCTCCCCCTTCCTCGTGTCTCCCTGCAGAAAGCGGGCGGCGGCCTGCGCCAGTGGAAGCGGGTGTACGCCGCGCTGCGGGCGCGCTCCCTCTTGCTGAGCAAGGAGCGGCGGGAGCCCGG